CAGACAGACGAATGTCAGGGATTGTTAGAAAATGACAACTAATATGCAACAATCAATGGACTTGCCGTTTCTCCCATGTGAGAAGACTCTTAGAAGGAATGCAGCCTGAATCTCTGACATTAAGAAGGCTGGGCAGAGTAGAAATGGAGAACAACCCTCTACTGTGCCTCGTACCGCACCGGAGTGTCTCGTGACATTTGCGTGTGAGTTTTGAAACAGAGAAGCATTATGCCTGCAAAAGTTGAGGAACATACTGCCACAGAAATTGGTGCAGGCCAACAGTCTAAATCAACGCCAAAGAAAGTAGAACCAGAGAGTTTATTGACTGCTATTGATTTGGACGGTGTAATGCCAGTAAAATCCCTGGCTTGGGAGTTCACATGTTGCCAGCAGTGAGCGACTCTCTAAGATGGAGCATTCCCAGGAGAAGACTGCTCCGCCTGGAGCTGCTGTTAGAGAGGGCTAGATCTGACGCAGAAGGACAATATGCAGTCTAACAGTTCTTCTGTTCATGCACCGTGTTTCAAGTGCTGCTAGTATAAACAGGCAATGCATCAAGCTCTCAGTTGCTCACAACACAGTAAGTATTATCACGTTTTACCTTCTGAAAGGTAATTTTACAGTCAAAACCCAATTTTATCTCGTGATGGCAGAAGAATTTCTATTCACTACAGTCACTGCCACAAAGGTAGAAGCATCAAAAGCTACTCAGTAGGGGTTTACGTGACAGCACTGCAACACGGCACAGGAGTGCTACTTTCTAAGAATGAGAAGGGAAGAGGATACCTTTTTTGCTAAGCAAAAGTCTGGATCGGTGAGGAAGAGAGAAAAGGAGAAGCTTTCATTAGTTGATGTGTCACATCACTGTTCCTTCACACAAGCATTGCTCCTGATTGAGTCAGAGCTAATAAGCAAATGGGCGGGAACCTCCAGGCACCCTTAAGTGCTGGCTGTTGTGCTTTTGTCCTCCTTCCCACCGTCCTTTGGACATACCGCATTCACCGGGAGGATTCTTCCGGCTACTCTGTGCTTGCTGATGGAGAAGACGCAATTAAAATTAAAAAAGTGGAGAGAGCTGGTTTTAAAATCACTTACCAATAAGCCACCATGAACGAAGTCACAAAATGACCTGCTGCCGAAGCCACCGTGACAATGTGACCGTGGTTGTTGTTCATCATGGCTGGCAGAAAAGCTCTTGTGGTCTTGAAAGTCATTTGAACCAAGAGGCAAAAAAGCAGGGGAGGAGGAAAGGGAGAGAAGAACAACGTTTGCTTAGGCATATTCAGCACTGACCCTGACTATCGTTAATTCAGCGACTAATGCTATCGCTAATGCTATGTGCCGCACGGCGCCTCAGAATCTGAGAGCCCCAGAGATACCCGTTCAGCTGGTACAACGGGCAACCTGTTCTCCAAATGGGAATGTTTCAGGAAGTCGGCTGTAAACAGGAGCCAACTCTCACATCTTTCCTGTGCTGCTTTTTAGGCTTCAGGTGTCAGTGCCAACGCTGCCAGTGTCTCACCCCAGCACGTACAATAAAACGCTCGTCAATCTGCAGCATCTCCTTTCTTCTGCTGCAAATAACGAGCCCTTAACAGCTGAAGCTCTCCCACCCTGTAACCCCTGCTGGCAGGGGCATGCCAAGGACCCAAGGCCCAGCTCTGACAGGGCCCAGCTGTGTCACCTCGACTCAGACTGCTGGGAGAAAGCTGGGAGAAAGTCCGCAGAGAGAGGAGAGAGGGACAAATCCCGAGGAGAGGCAGGACTGATGGGAGACGGGCTTGGAAGCAGCTCACGGAGCCAGGAGGGAAGGTGGTGACACAGCGAGGTACAAGCCGCGAGGGGAAGAGCGCCCAGGGAGATCCGCCGGGCTGGTGGCTGCAGTCAGGGAGGGGCCAGGCCTTGCTGTGCCCTGCGGCCGGGCTGTGCTGGGAGCTGCGGGGCTGGCCCTCCCCTGCTCTCCCTGACCTGCCTGGCCATTCACGCCACGTGCCAGCCACCTTTTGTGCAGGTCTGCTGACAAAGACATTGCTTTGTATTTTTCAGCCGTGTGTCTTCTGCTTGCAGGGTCTCGGTGCTCAGCTGCAGGTGCCCAAATTCCCCGATGCCATGACAAACCCTAGTTCCCCTATGACAGAGACCAACCGTGCCACAGATGAGGCCGGCGCCGGCCAGCTCGCGCAGAGAAAAGAGAGAATGAAGAAACCGGGCCAGGCTCAGCTCAGCAAGAAGATAACCAAGTTTCCCAACAGTCAGTCTAGCCGGCTGCCCCTGTGCTATACACAAGAAGATTGCAGTGGCCCTTACCCACATGTGAGCAAGAATGTTGACTTCAAACATTCTTTCAATCTGGTGGTCCTGAGTCGAGAGCAGGTCGGCAGTTGTAATCACACCAGCGTTATTCACCAGGATGGAGACATCCCCAATTTCCTTTTTCACCTTTTGGACAGAAAAACACCAGAAAGGTGCACGTCATTCGTTATCAAAGAAATGCAAGGCTGTGGAAGATGAGCACCACTTAATTTAATTCTTAACATGGATTCTTTTAGGGAGAGGAAGATGGCACCACGTTTCCAGATGTGGTAGGAACTGTGCAGCAGTACCATGAAATCTGGTTTAGATCCGATGCTTCCCCCTTAATTACTGCACAATTTGCCTACAGTACCTCTTCTCCTGTTTTCCTGACTTCTCTGAAAATCGAGCACGCTTGGGTAAGCCTTTGGACGTGCCCCTGCCCCCCTACCTTCTCTGCAGCGCTGTAGATTTCCTCCCTTTTGCTGCAGTCCACCACGAAGGCTTGAACAGTGGCTCCCAGCCTTTCGCATTCTGCTGCCGTGTCCTCAACGCCGTGCTGCAAGAGGCAGAAAAGAGAGACACGCCTGCACAACTGTACCCTGCTGGCGCATTGCTGCTCGGGCGCTGCGGCCGCTGCCAAGCCCCTGCACAGTTCATGGCTACCCAGGGGAAGGGGGGTGGTCTACCCCGGGGGCTACGCAGGTAGCTGGGGTCCGTGGGAGGACCGGTATTCCGACCTTAAATTTCGGACCTGCATAGAGTGACTGCCAGAAAGGGAATGTGGCAACAAGAGTGAGCTTGCCGTGGTAAAGCACACGTAGCTAGACTGCAGAAAGGGGGCGCGCGGTGACTTTCACAGCACAGCAGGCAGACACGGTGACTGTAAGCAGAGCTCTCAAAAGACAGGCCCAGCTGACACCCCCGAGACAGGAAAAGTGGCCCTATGCGTTTCGGTATTCACAGACGGGATGTGAGAAGAGAGGTGCGCTCCACAGTGCACACCGTAGGGAGACGTTTCTTACGAGAACAGCATTTGACACATATGGAAGCGATGCTCTGTTAAGATGCGTTTGTGGACACTGCCTGTCTCAGTGAAGGACTGAAACTGTGATTCCTGGATGAATGCCAGAGGCCCAGCACTTATCCCTGCAAACCAAGTCAGCTTTTTTTAGCTCGGTAACAACCAAGTGTGAAGTGTTGTCTCAGTTCATGTCTTGGGCCTGAACATCTGTTCCTATGACAGGAGACCGTCAAAATACAAAGGCGCTGTTTCATTCAGCCACATTTCTTTCAGCCTCCATTAGTGTGGTCTCTGCATTTCATCATTTGAGTAAACATTTTGGAGGTTTTGTTGAATGTGACCAGTAGTGTGAGGAGCATCTGGGGATGTCCACCATTTATATTAGAGGGAAAGAAAGAGTAAGCCCATCTTTCTGCCTCCCGGCAGGATCAACAGGGTCATGCGGTTTCTGACCTTCTATCATCATCTAAATTGTTCTTAAAACCGTCGGGATCCACTGCCTCCCTTGGCAATGTGTTTCAGTGCCTGCTTACCTCCACCCTTACATTGTATTTCCCAGCAGCAAAGCTCACTCACTTGCTATTAAGTTTCTTCCTTCTTCCTCCATGCCAGCGCTCATGGACAACACTCTACTTGGCGGCAGCCAAGTCTCCATCGGGAGACTACTGTCTCCATCGGGAGGCTACTGCCACGCGCCCCACTTTGACCTGCCTGGCCATTCACGCCACGTGCCAGCCACCTTTTGTGCAGGTCTGCTGACAAAGACATTGCTTTGTATTTTTCAGCCGTGTGTCTTCTGCTTGCAGGGTCTCGGTGCTCAGCTGCAGGTGCCCAAATTCCCCGATGCCATGACAAACCCTAGTTCCCCTATGACAGAGACCAACCGTGCCACAGATGAGGCCGGCGCCGGCCAGCTCACGCAGAGAAAAGAGAGAATGAAGAAACCGGGCCAGGCTCAGCTCAGCAAGAAGATAACCAAGTTTCCCAACAGTCAGTCTAGCCGGCTGCCCCTGTGCTATACACAAGAAGATTGCAGTGGCCCTTACCCACATGTGAGCAAGAATGTTGACTTCAAACATTCTTTCAATCTGGTGGTCCTGAGTCGAGAGCAGGTCGGCAGCTGTAATCACACCAGCGTTATTCACCAGGATGGAGACATCCCCAATTTCCTTTTTCACCTTTTGGACAGAAAAACACCAGAAAGGTGCACGTCATTCGTTATCGAAGAAATGCAAGGCTGTGGAAGATGAGCACCACTTAATTTAATTCTTAACATGGATTCTTTTAGGGAGAGGAAGATGGCACCACGTTTCCAGATGTGGTAGGAACTGTGCAGCAGTACCACGAAATCTGGTTTAGATCTGATGCTTCCCCCTTAATTACTGCACAATTTGCCTACAGTACCTCTTCTCCTGTTTTCCTGACTTCTCTGAAAATCGAGCACGCTTGGGTAAGCCTTTGGACGTGCCCCTGCCCCCCTACCTTCTCTGCAGCGCTGTAGATTTCCTCCCTTTTGCTGCAGTCCACCACGAAGGCTTGAACAGTGGCTCCCAGCCTTTCGCATTCTGCTGCCGTGTCCTCAACGCCGTGCTGCAAGAGGCAGAAAAGAGAGACACGCCTGCACAACTGTACCCTGCTGGCACATTGCTGCTCGGGTGCATCTGGAGATGTCCACCGTTTATATTAGAGGGAAAGAAAGAGTAAGCCCATCTTTCTGCCTCCCGGCAGGATCAACAGGGTCATGCGGTTTCTGACCTTCTATCATCATCTAAATTGTTCTTAAAACCGTCGGGATCCACTGCCTCCCTTGGCAATGTGTTTCAGTGCCTGCTTACCTCCACCCTTACATTGTATTTCCCAGCAGCAAAGCTCACTCACTTGCTATTAAGTTTCTTCCTTCTTCCTCCATGCCAGCGCTCATGGACAACACTCTACTTGGCGGCAGCCAAGTCTCCATTGGGAGACTACTGCCACGTGCCGCCCTCCCCCCTGCCCCGAGTCACACCTTTTTTGGAGAACGTGGATGTGGTACTGGACCACAAGCACACGCAAAGTCTGATCTTAGCTGTAATGGGTAGCGTGAACGGACACCGAAAACATTACACACTATCCTCCCTGGTTACACATCCCTCCATGCCAGGCTTGGCTTGGGTTTTTTTGTTTGTGGTGGGTGGTGCGGTTTTGTTTTTTTTTTGTTTTTGCAGCTTCAGGATGACACGATGAACTGCTCTGCAGTTTCCGATCCATGGTGTCAGAAACCCTTCCTGCGCGCTGCTGCCCAGCCACTCACCCCCTCTGTACAGCCCATCGCTCCTACGCACGGCACTTTGCCTTGATCCCTG